ATTCCGAATGCAAGACATGCGCCCTTAGGAGACTTCATTGTTTACTAAAATCTCCCAATGAAAATATCACCATAGTAACAACTTGCTGAGATTCGTTAGAAGGCTCTCAATCCTGTCTCCCTCCATTCAACAGTTCTGACGACCAAGGCGAAAACGATATCTCAGTCACTGCTATTAAATCCTGCTCTGGTGTTCAAACCAGCCGCTACTCAAAATCGTTTCATCTATAGTTTTGGCGTTCTTAGTCCTGGAGGGATCAATATTAAAACAACGCTTAATTTAATTTAATTTATTTACTTGTTGGTTTATTTATTTTTATTCACATTTTCCCCCTCGTTTTATGTACGCCTTCTTGCTTATTTCTTTTGTATTATAGCCCTTCATATTCATACTTTGCCATCCAATACTATTGTTGCTTTAAAGTTGACTTTGGCTTTTTTATTAGCCCTGTTGCCTTGCCAGTCGAGTTTTCCATTCACAGTTTGTGCTGTATTTAGTACTCTGTTGATAAAGACTTTGGTCAAAACGTTCGGTTGTATTTGTGTGCGTCATTTCCAATCCTTCCACTGAGCTTTCTAGTCACATTTAGTGTTATATGTAGCACTTCTTGCAATCAGCTCGACTGCAGTCACCTCCTATTTAGGTCATCACTATCATCATGCTGGTTGGCAGTCTTAGAGTAATAGTAGTAGGTCTCACTTTGTGATTAACGCGACAGTAAAAAGTCTCATATTGTGATTACCATGACAGCAACCATTCTCAGACGATGATTAAAGTGATAGTCACTAGCCTTAGTGATATAGATGAGAGTAATTCTTTTGGCGTCGTGATTAACTTCATAGCAACAATATAACCAGCTTCTCATGGGGATAATTAGTAGAAGTACTTTAGAGTGGCTGCTGCTTCGGAGAACTGAGCACGCATGGGTATGCCCAATGTGCAGTGACATTAATTGTGATAACAGAACATAAAATAACATCTTAGTAGGGAGTCGGCAGTACGAAACCCAAGTTCAAGGTGTCTCCTTCGTGCCAAAGAACTGCATGGCTGTTGGGTGAACAGTCGTTAACGATGGCAGGCAAGTCGTTGTAGGGGCGACGCCTGCTGGTGGATGTAATGTCCCAAGTCCCTTCCCCAGCTAATAATGAGGGTACTGCTGGGGTGACCGTTTATTAACCCTCATATAATTCTTCCGGTCAAAATGGACGCTAGGTACGGCCACCCTTTTTTTTTTTAAAAGCCGTGGCAAATATTTTTTTTCCAGACGGTGGCCGTTGCATTTTTGCTCCATTTGTAGACTGGAAGGATGTAGTTTCGTCGCCCAGCTTCTGAGTTGAGTGCATGGCGTGACACTGTGAGCTGCGTTTGTTTTTCGTTGGCACAGGAGCGGAGCATATGTGGGGTGACCCGTTTGCTATGAAGCTGAAACTAGGATTACCAGATTACCAGATAGCAACAAGCCTCATTTCATGACTAATTTGGTAGCAACCAGCCTCACCTTGTGATTAACCTGATAGCAAGCAGCATCATGTGGTGATTAACTTGATGGCAACCATCATCATGTGGTTTTTAACTTGATGGCAACCAGTATAATGTGGTGATTGACTTGATGGCAACCAGTATCATGAGGTGTTTAACTTGATGGCAACCAGTATCATGTGGTGTTTAACTTGATGGCAACCAGTATCATGTGGTGTTTAACTTGATGACAACCAGTATCATGTGGTGTTTAACTTGATGGCAACCAGTATCATGTGGTGTTTAACTTGATGGCAACCAGTATCATGTGGTGTTTAACTTGATGGCAACCAGTATCATGTGGTGTTTAACTTGATGGCAACCAGTATCATGTGGTGTTTAACTTGATGGCAACCAGTATCATGAGGTGTTTAACTTGATGGCAACCAGTATCATGTGGTGTTTAACTTGATGGCAACCATTATCATGTGGTGATTGACTTGATGGCAACCAGTATCATGTGGTGATTGACTTGATGGCAACCAGTATCATGAGGTGTTTAACTTGATGGCAACCAGTATCATGTGGTGTTTAACTTGATGGCAACCAATATCATGTGGTGTTTAACTTGATGGCAACCAGCATCATGTGGTGATTGACTTGATGGCAACCAGCATCAAATGGTGATTAACTTGATAACAACCAACAGAACATCAAAAATAACTTGATGGCAACCAACAGAACATCAAAAATAACATGATGGCAACCAACAGAACATCAAACATAACTTGATGGCAACAAGCCTCATATCAGCGACAAGTCTCACATAATGATCAGACAGACATCCACTAGCCTCACTTGTAGCTACCAGCCGAAAATCTTGGTTAACCCAAGAAGAGTCAGCCTCAGATCGTGATTTACATGGCAGTAACCAGCCTCAAGCCGTCATTAACCTGATAATAACCAGCCTCAAGCCGTCATTAACCTGATAATAACCAGCCTCAAGCCGTCATTAACCTGATAATAATTAGCCTCAAGCCGTCATTAACCTGATAATAACCAGCCTCAAGCCGTCATTAACCTGATAATAATTAGCCCCAAGCCGTCATTAACCTGATAATAACCAGCCTCAAGCCGTCATTAACCTAATAATATTTAGCCTCAAGCCGTCAATAACCTGATAATAACCAGCCTCAAGCCGTCATTAACATAACAATAACCAGTATCAAGCCGTCCTTAACTTAATAATAAACAGCCTCAAGCCGTCATTAACATAACAATAACCAGTATCAAGCCGTCCTTAACTTAATAATAAACAGCCTCAAGCCGTCATTAACCTGATAATAACCGGCTTCAGATAGAATGCCTGCGACAATATAAGACATTTGAAAGTGTTAGTTTCACACTATGATAATGTGAAATGTGCAGAACTGCAGAGTGTCGCTGTGATCTGAAACATCTGCAACAACCGGACAAATCTTAGCAGAGACTGAACTCAAGAAAGTAACCACAAATTTCAGTGAAAGGACACACAATTGTTATGTAAGTTCTGCCGTCGCTCAGATCTTAGCAAAGACTGAACTCAAGAAAGTAACCACAAATTTCAGTGAAAGGACACACGATTGTTATGTAAGTTCTGCCGTCGCTCAAATCACACTACCGTGGTATCTTTTCATTTTATTTTATTTTTCTCTAGAAAAGCTCGGCTGCTTTGTTCCTTGAAAAAGACTTCTGTCGAAACATTTGTTTGTTGCCTATGTGTCCTTCCTTTTGTCAAGCTTTTCGGTTTGTGTGTGTGTGTGGGGGGTGGGGGGGGGGGCTTTCTCCGGTTTCTGGCTGAGTGGTCAAAACATAGGGCTCTTAATCAGGGCATAAAGCCTTGGGTTCAAGGACCCACACGCCTTTACCAGTTTTTTTTTTTCTCTTTTGTTTTTTTCTTTCTTTACGACAGCCATTCTTCGTTTGTTGCTATAGTCCATTCTAGAAGTGGCACCCTCGAACTTCAACAAATAACTGGACACCTCCTGTACGGATAAAAGCGAGTTTTTGCATGTGATCTTAGATTTCACATGGCCTTATAATTTCCTAATTTACACTGACACATGTGCTGCTGTTTTCTTACAGCGTTGAATTTCTTTGATCATGGGACTAATAATTTGTGCACCCCTCACACACACACGCATATATATATATGTATATATATATAGATTGCCTCCAAAACGCAGGAATTTGAATGATAAGTTGGCATCAATGTTGTCAGTAAACATGCTATCTGTAGGCTTTGAATGGGTGTCTGGTGTCTCATTTACCACAAAAGACAAATTTAAAAAAAAAAAAAAAAAAACCCAGAAGGTTGTTCATATTGTAGTTATTTTCCTATAAGGACATGACGATTAAGAGGTTGCAGGCCTAACTTCAACAGTTTACATCAAACGGTTACTGAGTTACCGATGTTTAAATTTCTTCACGACTTTTGGAACGGACTTATAGGCTGCCGTCAGTCCATATAGACTAGTGTTTTCCAAACTGTTCTTGGTCGCGGCGCCTTTTTTAAATCATTATTTTCGACATGGCGCCCTAACCTAAGTAAAAGTATGACTATCCGTTTCTTGGTTTAATTAATTATGAAGCTTTTACAACATTTCGCCACGTCCCTGTGAAGAGGTCGCGGCTCCCCGGGGCGCCGCGGCACACAGTTTAGGAATCCCTGGTATAGACTATGGAGATATTCTGCTGGTTCTGGGAACAGCGTCTATAATGATTGTAAAGTCCTGCAATACCGCAACATTTTATATATATATATATATATATATATATAATATATATATATATATATATATATATATATATATATATATATATATACACTCTTCTGAAGGTTTGAATCTACATATGGCATATTTTATTACTGACTTAAGCATCCTCTACGATACAGCAAAAAATGTGCACCAGAATAGATATGGGAAGCAAAGGCGACCAGTGTGCTTTTGACCACATCAGCCATAGTTTGCTGACTAGGTTGTTGAAATTTGAATCTAGCATTCCATGCCCGATAGACCACTAGGGAAAACAGGGACCTTCACCTGCCATGACTCCGGGCGGTACGCACGAGGTACCCAGTACCGACATCACTTTAGGGCATCATTCTCCAGCGCTACCGTAATTTACTCTGTATGTGTACTTTATTAAACACGCTTCAGCGAGTACATGCACTCCTCTCTCTCTCTCTCTCTCTCTCTCTCTCTCTCTCTCTCTCTCTCTTAAATGTCCAGCTCACAACACCTGCTAGCAGTGTAATAAGTTACACTAAAGACGCGATAGATTGTTACATCTATTATAATATTTGTAATATTACCGTGTTACAGTACTGATCAAATTGATAGTCAAATATATGAAACTTGTTCTACCCTTACATTCCAGATCATACAGACCGCGGCAAGTCCACGTCGATGGTAGGGAAATAGGTTATGTACAAACGAAAGGGCTTCCCAGGCGCAGTCGCTCAAACTGAAGTTCTACTAAGTCACAAGTCACACTGACTTTCATAATGTCTGATACTCCTGTAGCATGTGATTGCTAGCCGCTGCTTGATTGGAGAGATGGTGTCCCATGTGACCTAACGAGTGCGCGTGGTGACCTCCCATCATGCTGTGCACCGACATCATGCTTCCGGCGGAAACAGATGCGGCCATACTGGAAGCCTTCTGCAGATCGGCATAGATAGCGGACGGGTGGGGAGGAGATTGGTCATCCAGTTTTGTATGACCCATAGATTCACAGCTGTGCTCCTCTTTGATGTCTGAGCTGGGTGAGTTTGGATCCGTGGGCATCCCCGACTGACCTGGAAGTCCAGGATGGTCTCTGTAAAAAATTAAAGAAAAAACGAAATTAGTTTCGACGATTACTGGAGTGACAAGAAAATTACTTAACTAGATTGAGTAAGGTTAAGAAAAGGAACCTCTTTACGCAAGTGGCGCTTCGGACATTTCATGATAAGACCAATGGGCACTCGGTTGTTGATGTTGTCCTCCTCCTGTTGTTGTTCTTCTTCGTCTTATTGTTCTTGTTGTTGTTATTCTTCTATCCCCAGTGGAGCACAGGCCCTCAAACTCACGCCAAGTCATTCTATCCTTCGCTATTGTGTGCAGTTCCCTCTATATGTTCCCCATCTTTGAAACTTCATTCTCTAGCTCCCTTCTCGATGTGCGTGCGTGTCTCTCTCTCCCCCCCCCCCCCTTTTTACATTCATTGCTATGCCCCGGCAAGTTCCAGCACAAAGACTATTCTAGTAATATTGTTCTCCGGTGTATCCCAACCTGTCATCCTCAACATCAGCTTCTTTTTTCACCTCTTGGTCGACTGGATTCTGTTTAGTTCTTTCCCGAAGCTAAATATTAGTTATTTTTATCATACGGTTTAATTTTCTTTATTCTGCGCAGGAACCAGTTAATGAATGTTTGTAGTTTATA